AAACATTGGCTGTCAGGATGTGTGTAGGCGGGGCAGTGTGACGAACGTGAGGGGAGCTAGGCTCCTCTCACAGTCCGCCCTGAAGATCGGAACGGCGCGGGAACACGGCGAGAGGAACGCGCGGAGCAAAGGTAAGTGAATTGACACAGGGGGGACTTGGCTTACTACTTGGGGGGGAATAGTACTATGGGGGATGAAATACTATATGAGGGATGAATTAATATGGGGGATGAATTAATATGGGGAATGAATTACTATAGGGGGGATGAATTACTATGGGGGATGAATTACTATGGGGGATGAATTACTATATGGGGGATGAATTACTATGGGGGATGAATTACTATGGGGGATGAATTACTATGGGGGATGAATTACTATGAGGGATGAATTACTATATGGGGGATGAATTAATATGGGGAATGAATTACTATAGGGGGGATGAATTACTATATGGGGGATGAATTACTATGGGGGATGAATTACTATTGGGGATGGTACATTCATCTACTCTTGGTCTGGCCCCCGGGTCCAATATATGAACCCATTGCAGCCCTCAAGTCAAAAAGTTTGCCCACCCCTGTATTAGGCCATTTATAGTGACCTTCATTGATGTGAAAACACAAATCTTTCTTATATGTAGCAATAAGTAGAATTTTGAGACTTATGTAACAGAAGAATGAACCACAGTACAACATATTTTGTGCCATATTCCAAATTCTTATGTACTGAAAGTTTCTGTCTGAACATTGATCATAACAATATCAGGATAAACTGCTAAAATGCTTCTAATATCATTTCAGCATGCTGAGATAAGGATGGTTTTCACCCGTAAAACTGGCATATATGCAGAAAGATTCTAATTAGTTGTTAGATGAGCAGGGGGGCATTTCTGCATTATTCATCATTAAGCTTGTCATTTTCTTTTTTTTCATGTCTATGCTGCCATGCTATCCTTAACAGAAGTCAATAATGGCATGATGTTATTATATTCATCTTTTCATAAATTCTCAGTAATAGGACAACTTCAATGAAATCTCAAGGGAGGCTTTTTTAAAGTGTTAGGTAACCCCGCTAAGTTATTTTCTTTTTAGGGGCCCCCAAGTGGGTTATGCCAACGTGCGCTAGGATTCACAGCATTTTAGTACATTATGGCAGACTTACCTGTCAAATAGTTCCCTCCAGCACTGTGGTGTGAACAATCTGGCAGGCCCCCGGGGCTTTCATCTTTGCCCAGTCTTTCTTCCGGATCTTGTGCCTTCAGCCGTTTTAATGGCCGGGCCATGAGGATATCACTCTGGCACATTCGCACAGGAGTCTCATTGCCGGGGCACAGATCGGGCTGTAAATGTTCCACAAGTAAATCCATACTCAATTACTTCATCCAGCGATATAGAGCCTTGACGATCTTGATGAACGATGCCTGCTGAAAGAAAAAAATAACACGTTGAAATGTCCAATCCCAATAAATGACAAATAAAAAATTGTGGTGCTAGGAAAATCAGAAAACCAGGGTAATAGAACTAAAAGGAACAATATCTCAGAGATGACATATAGCTTAAAATATGAGAATATTGTGAAAAAAAGGCCTGGATTCTTTCCTGGATATACAGAATATAACTGGATACTAACATTTATAGGTAAAGTTGATCCAGGGAATATCCGATTGCCTCTCTGGGGATCAGGAAGGAATTTTTTTCCCTGCAGAAGCAGATTGGATCATGCTTTGCTGGGTTTTTTTGCCTTCCTCTGGATCAACTGTAGGTATAGGATTATAACTTTTTATTTTTTAATGGTTGAACTGGATGGACTTTTTTCTTTTTTCAGCCAGACTAACTATGTAACTATGTAAATTGGCCCTAGTACATGTATGCATTAATGTGAGTTGGAGACCTCAGATTGTACACCCCTTGAGAGTAAGGGACTTATGTGAATGTACAATATATATGTAAAGTGCTGCGTAAATTGATTTCGTTTTTTGGTTGAACTGGATGAACTTTTGTCTTTTTTCTGACAGACCACTATGTAACTATGCCCACAGTCTTTGTAAATTAACAATTCCATGTAGACTGTATCCAAAAATCACACTCAGAGTGAAACAGCCAGTTGTCAGAGTAGAAGATCCTCTGTAATGGGTAAAAGAAGTGAAGAAACAGCAGCACTTTCTGAGTATATAATAATGTGGTAAAAGAAAATTTATTAGTAAGACATAAGGCAACTCACAAGAGCAGTATATAGACTTGCATATCACATGAAAGCCATCCCCTGCTGACGATTAGTTCCGGACCACTGGGATGTGTGCTAGGACCCGTGTGGTCGCACTGGTGGTTATCAGGGCTCCAAGCAAGCTTGGGGATCTGACACCAAGCAGTGACGTCTCCGGAAACGGAAGCGGTGGAGAGGCAATCTGGCTGACGCGCTTTCAGAGCATGAGTGCTCCTTCCTCACTGCCTCTCCACTGCTTTGATTTCAGGTGACATCAGGCCAGGGATCTTCCCCCTATAACCACCCACACAGAGTTGTGTGAATGAATGAACTACAAGTACCGACAACCTTTGCGGCTGATGGCTTGTAGTTCTCAATGAACTATGAGGGCATTAGTGAGCGCTCTAGGTAGTTCATTGAGTCTTCCTGTCATTCAGTAACTGCCTGCCCGTATAAGGTACAAACAGACAGACACACTGGCAGTCTGCAAGAGCCTGAGATAGCACCTGCAATGCAATGCTTTATAACAATAAAAAATAAACTCAACGAATAGTCTATATCATCGCGCTAATGTGAAATAATTTATATCAATAATATAAATCAAGCCTTGACTGGAGCTGCTATTTAAAAAAAAATACTATAAAAAAGCATAAATTAGTGTAATAACACCATAAACAACGCTCACTGATGAAATGCAATTCAATACCCAATTTAAGTGAAATAATAAAAAATATTCATAAACAAATGATATATAAAAAATTAGATTTGCAAAATAAAAAAATCACACTTCCACCAAAACAGTGCATAAAGTGATAAAAATGGACTTAGCTTTTTTTGATATGAACTGATTTTTGTCACTTTATGCACTTTTTTGGTGGACGCGTGATTTTTTATTATGCAAATCTAATTATTTATATATCATTTGTTTATGAATATTTTTTATTATTTCACTTAAATTTGGGGATTGAATTGCATTTAATCAGTGAGCGCTGTTTATGGTGTTATTACATTAATTTATGTTTTTTTAATGCAATGCTTTTCTTTTTTAAAAAAAAATTATAAATGCACATTTTTTTTACCTGCACAAAAATGTGCATTTATTATTTTTTTAGAAAGGTGAACTTAGCCATTAAAAGATTATCCTGATGAAAAATCATTCAGCACACTTAAAATGTTACTAAACCCACAATAGTAGAATCAGTTTGTATATGCAGTAAAGCATGCTTGTTATACTCACTGTGAAACCTAAGGGATTGATCCCCTGCATTGTGGAAAAAAGCCATTTGATCCTGACTTCTCTGCCCCTCCTCTTGTTCAGATATCCACCTGATAAGACAGATGGAACCCCTAGTCGTTCTGCACATGCTCAGTTTGGTGTGTATTGCTAGATAGGTTTTTCTTTTCTTGGGAGAGTGCATATGATAAGCACAGGGCCAATCAGCACTGTCCAGACAGAGGTCAGAGGTTCTGCATCCTCCTAGAGCAGAAAGAAAAACTCCTACAAGCTTTAACCAGTGCTCTGCTGAAGTCACAAGACTGCTCTATACTGCTGCTAAGAAAAGGTATTTAGCAGTTTATATTTACTACAATAATGGCACTTCCATGTTCTGTGTACTTTGGGAGACCAGATAGAGTGAATGCAGGGTCCTGGGTTTAGTAACACTTTAAGGTATGTCAGATGCATGGTCCCCTGCTGTGTGGTTTGGTTCCTTCTGCTGGCCATGTGTCTTGTAGTAATTAGGGGCGGATGGAGGAAACCACATAGTACAGCAGGGGACACCAATCAACACTGCCAACAGTGTCATATGCAGACAGTCTTTAAGCAAGATTCACCCCAGCCAACTTTGGTGGTATAGTAAGCAACCGAACCGGATAGCGTATGTACTCTCCAGCGCCTCAGGATATGCACAGCCAAAAGGGAAGCCAAGGGTACCAGGACAGCGACAACCAAAAGGAAATGTTCCAGGGGTGCAGCCCTCCTCAGACGGGAAAATCAGCCACTGGATAGAGAGAAAACAGGTGGCGCACACACCTAGTGCATTATCCAAGGTTTATTGTAGGAGTGAAATAATAAAAACATACTCACAGACGAAGCATGTATCTAACAAGCATAGAAAAATGACAATGGCCACAACGGCGGGCAAGGTGTTCTCACTGTCAGTGCGGTCAAATGGCTGACGCGTTTCGGGGGACGAATCCCTTTCCTCAGAGCTGATGACCAACCTCTGATGCTGATGTATGATGAATGGAAAGTAAAGTAAGAGCCTCGCTGTTGATACCTCAAGGCAGGGCAAATAAGTGTTAATTGTTTGCTTTGCATGGAGACCTTTATTTCATGTTTTAAAGATAGTCACAAAGTCTCTAGAAGTGCCTGTAAAGTACTGGGTGGTCACTGGAATGCCTTCAGACTTGCAAATGATATGCTTGGGGGGGAATAGATTGATGGAGCTAAATTCAGTTATTGTTATTCCACCCAATTAAGGATAGTGCAAGAAAAGATTACTGGAGGTGAATTTGCAGATCTAACAAAGAGACATTTATGTTCCTTTATCTCTGAACATTTAACAGTATTTTACACAGTTATCGGAATGTCATAGCAAGATAACACTAATTAAGCAATTTGTACATTTACTTGTTGAAATTGATACATTTTTATAACCTTGCTATCATTTACAGGTTTTCACATCCTACTTTTAATATAAATCAGTAATGGGAAAAAGAGGGTGGACGTGTTCCTCTAGGTATATATAGTGGGACAGATGAAGCTCATCAGTACAGAAGACCAGAGAGGCACCATGTATACCTTCTTCATTCTTCTGCTCACCATCTGGCAGGCTCAAGCTGTCACTTTAGTAAGTCTGAATAGAAATGAAATATTATTAACCATTGGGAATTATTATTATTAACCATTGGGAAACACAAATGGCAGTTCATATGCAGGTAGAAAAATTTGCTGCCAATGTCATTGATTTTCATCTGATGTTTTTTTCTCAGTAAATATATTTAAAGCAGAACTCTAGCCTTGCATTAGGCATATGTGTGGCAACACTTAAAGCTGAACTCCAGGCAAGCAGCTAAATGGAAAGGTGAAATATTTATAGGGAACCGTTTTACCTGTCTGTATTTCTGAACACCCAGTCCTGAGATCTACACAACTCTGAAACACAGCTTTGTTCTATCTGGCAGGGCAAGAGACCTGCTTTTTCTCTGCTGAAGTTTTGCACCACTTTCAGGTTTTGTCCCACCCAACTTGAGACTACAGACCTGCAGACTGATGAGCTTAGCTTTCTGTCACTTTGCTCCTATCAGCATGCCCCCTTTATTAGCTCATGAGCACTGCATGACTGATTGCCTTCTTGTGCTGCTTCCCCCTTTCCACATCTAGGCTCTGCTGTACGGGGACTGAATGAAGTTGGTACTAGGTAATGAAAATTGTATTGATAATTACAACGCTTAGTTGATTTTTGTCTGCCTGGACTCCAGCTTTAATTGTGAGTGAACTTCCACTTACCTCTTTCCCTTAGTCCCCTGTAAAATCTCACAAACAGGGGTGGACTGACCATTTGGAAATTCGGGCACTGCCCGAGGGCCCGGGGTCAGTAGGGGGCCCCATGAGATGCCCCTGGTACCTTTTTCATAGGCTTTTTTGAGTTTTGGCAAGGACACAGGGGCCCCATGATCCCCTATTGCCCGGGGGCCCCATGAGTTGTCAGTCCGCCCCTGCTCACAAATACCTGTTGATCCATCTCATGCAGTTTCCTGTGATGGGGACAATACTGCTTCACGGTTACTGAATTGAAAGCAGAATTGTCCCTCATGTAGGCTGTGGCTGCTTGCACTACAGTGGGATGAGAAGATGTTGCAGAGAGGGAGCCTGTAGCTTGTCAATCAGCAGCTGGCCACACCAAGCACTACTGGATTGGCAGAACTGACCATGCTGCTGAAACCCTCCACTTGGGCTGCAGTGTCTGGGAGGGGAGGCATGTGAGCCAAAAATGAAGGAGGATTTGATTAACTCAAGGGATTTTTTTTTTCAATTTATGGGGCTGTCACACAAGAGTTTACTTGTAGGAGATAGCGTATACAGATATTTGTGCTTTGTTCTGACATCTATTTGTGAATCTTTTTTTCACAGTTTTTCATTACGGTATATATGCATGCATTATATTGCTGTTGGTTTTTGCCTCTCTACAAAGTCAATGCAAAGGTTTCTCAAAGGCATAATTAAATTTGAAGGCAAATTGACCTTTAACTGATCTGAAATGTTACAATTTTGCTGTGCTTGATTTACTTCTAATTCTAGAGCTCCTTTACACTATCAGGTACATTCACTAATTATTGCAATCAAAAACCCCAGTATATTGGCAGCATTAGGATGCCTTTTAAGATAAATAAAATAGGTCTTTGGCTATAGTGTTCAGCTGGTTAGATACATTCTGTATCAGAGCTTATGTAATGTTTTCAGGTATTTTTCTCTTTATATTCCTGTGTCATGATACGTTAAGACCAGGGGCGGACTGACAACTCATGGGGCCCCCGGGCAATAGGGGATCATGGGGCCCCTGTGTCCTTGCCCAAACTCAAAAAAGCCTATGAAAAAGGTACCAGGGGCATCTCATGGGCCCCCCTACTGACTCCAGGCCCTCGGGCAGTGCCCAAGTTTCCAAATGGTCAGTCCGCCCCTGGTTAAGACTTGATTTTCACTTAGAAATGTGCTAGTACAAAGGCAATCTGACTGTATAGCTAATGCTGAGATTTTAGGTGGGTTTTAAAAACCCACAATGCAGGGCATAGAACAAATCTGAACTCCAAAAACACTCATACGCTACAAGGGTTAGATGCACTTTTTTGTCTGGGGTAACAGTAAAAAGCATTTTTGTTTAGCTTATTCTTGATCCCTCTGCAGCCGCCACTCACCTGTTTTCTGTGGCTTGCGGAAGGGTCCCCCGACTTCTTCACTTACAAAGCAGGACTGATGGTCCTGCATTGTACGTTATGATGTCACAGCTGTGACTGCCAGCTGTTATGCTATAGAGCAGAGGCTGTGGAAGATTGGTTGCATGTAGGAGTGAGGGATAAGGTACATAAATGTGCTTTTTAGCTTTAGTTGGAATACAGTCTACTGTAAACCATTTATTCTCTCATCTCTATGCATTTTGCCTGCACTGGACATTTCAGTAAATACATGACAAAGCATCTGGTGTGAACTAAAAGGCAATAACAGTGCATTTAACATATTGTTGCAGTTATTTGCATAATGAGATATATTAGAATTATATTAAAAAGGTGGGGGGGCGGGAATGGGGGGGGGTAGGGAAAATATGAAATGAGTTATTTGGGAGGAACGGGAAAAGCTTGTTATTGTATGTTGTTTTTTTTCTTCTTTTTTTTAAACATCATGTATCTTTTTGTATTTTAAGGAAAAGAAACTAATAAAAAATATAACTGAAAAAAAAGAAATATTTAGAACCCCTTCTAATGATAAAATTTTATTACTTTTTGTGTTTATCAGTTAGAACATTGTACGGGTTAGTAATGTGTATTTTGTTCTTTACAAGACGCAGAGTTTGATCTCTGAATCTGGATCTGGATTCCTGGATGAGAATGGAGTCTGTTACTGCACCATCGACCTTCCAGATACCACCTTCCCGGCTGACCGCTTTGAGAGACTGGAGATAGCAAACCGCAATCTGACAATTACTGTGGAGAAAGAAATCACTAAGGTATAAATACCATATCTCATATTAAATAGGGACTATAGAGTAACATATCTCCCAACCTTCTGAGATGAGAAAGAGGGACACCTTTATAGTATAAGGTATGTAGGCAAATTACACCCCCCTGCACTGCACCATTCCATGAAACATTAATATATGAAAAATATGACTGGTTATACCCACCAGTGTTTTTTTCATTACTTTTTTTTTTAACAGCAATTTAAACACACACATGCTACAATTTAGTACTCAGATAAAAGGTTCACTGCAATTTAATACTTCTAATACATTTCTTTGTAAAGGTCTATACCTCAGAACAAAAAGAGGGACCAATGAGGAAGAAAGAGGGATAGAGGAATTTGATTCCCAACGTGGGACAGTCCCTCCAAATCATGGACAGTTGGGAACTATGGATTAACAAATCTAGAAAGTCCACAGAAATTCTTAACAATGGATATTTAACTCTAATGTTTCCCTAGTTTAAAATAAAAGTTTCAATATTGTTTGTCCGAATACAATTTTGATGAGAATTGAGCATGTCTTTTTTTCACATACAGTATTTCATATACAGGCTTATAGATTTTCCGTACAGTGATTTACTGCTAAATAATTGCTGGGTGAAAAGTGACTTACAGGATTAGCTTAGACCAAAAACAACATTCCCCATAGACTTTAGTGTCAATTCACGAAGCTGCATAAGTCATTCTAACAATATTCTCAGAAAACTTTTCTCAAGAACAAAAACATACAAAACATTTAATTCACATACCAAAAGACTGCATAGCATTTTTAAATGAAATATATTATTTATTTGTGTTGTATCATGAAGAATTGTTATAGCTTTTCCTAAAATTACTCTAGTCCAGTGTTTCTCAACTCCAGTCCTCATGGACCCCCAACAGGTCATGTTTTCAGGATTTCCCTCAGATGAAACAGCTGTGGTAATTACTAAGGCAGTGAAACTGATCAAATCACCTGTGCAAAATAATGGAAATCCTGAAAACATGACCTGTTGGGGGTCCATGAGGACTGGAGTTGAGAAACACTGCTCTAGTCCTTGTTCTCTTCAGTAGATGTCTCATAGAATCTCTCTCTCTATACAGCATCACCTATCAAGTTTTGAGACAGGTTTGAATGTGATTGGTGGCTGTGAGGCTTTTTGCATGTAAAAAAATTATGAGGAATCTGCAGTGGGGGTGTTTAGGAATCCCTCCCCTTTGCTGCCAACAGATAAGAAAAAGATCACCAGTGTACTGACTAAAGGGGCTAGGAGAATGGGGCACTAATACCTAGGTGCAAATATATTTTCAAAGAGATAAAGGAAGCTAAAGTGAATGTAAGTAAAGTCAACTTTTTACTTATTGTCATGCTCTTGGTCTGAAAAAGTTAGTTGCTTGGATGTTGTACTGAATTGGTTTCTTCAATATTCTGAGTCACTATCCCTGTTCAGTATGTACAGTTGTGTTCAAAATAATAGATGTGTGTTAAACAAAGTGAATAAAGCTCAAAATCCTTTTAATAGCTTTTATTTCCATACACACAAATGCATTGGGAACACTACACATTCTATTCCAAATCAAAACATGAAGAAAAATAGATCAAATTGGTGTTGTTCCTCTAAAAAAAATTGAAGAAAAGTGAATATTAGACTGTTCAAAAAATAGCAGTGTTTGTATTCTTCTTTACAAACTCAAACATTCACTATATAAACTGAAAAATGTTTGAAGATTTTTCTTTCCTTTGAATCACTTAATTAATCTTTAGTTGTATAAGCACTGTTTCTGAGAACTGCTGTACATCTGTGTTGCATGGAGTCAACCAACTTCTGGCCCCTGTGAACAGGTATTCCAGCCCAGGATGATTGGACTACATTCCACAGTTCTTCTCTATTTCTTGGTTTTGCCTCAGAAACTGCATTTTTGATGTCACCCCACAAGTTTTCTATTGGATTAAGTTCCAGGGATTGGGCTGGCCACTCCATAACGTCAATCTTGTTGGTCTGGAACCAAGATGTTGCACGTTTACTGGTGTGTTTGGGGTCGTTGTCTTGTTGGAACACCCATTTCAAGGGCATTACCTCTTCAGCATAAGTGTCAGGGACTGCGGGTCTCGCCGCGGCGCACATATTATGATCCGCCAGGTGGTGCCTCTGGCTGCCCACTTGACAGACCTACCCAAAGCGTGGAGTCTAAGTCCCAGTCTGTGCTTTCACCAGGGCCCCTGATGGTGGGGATGGACTTGTAACAGACCAGGACCAGGTCACGACCTCTGAGCAGGCCCACCAGTGGCAGAGGGAACCTCCGGGGATGTATAGGTACTGTGAGAGCCAGATGTGAGGAGGCCAGCAGGACCTAGCAGGATGGATCACAAGCAGTGGTCCCGTGGGGTAAGCGAGGTACAGAATCGGCAGGTGGAGAGTAGTCAGGTCACACGCAGGGTCAGCAGGATAAGTCAGTCCGCAGATAGGTCAAACAAGCCGGGAGTCAGGAGGGGAGAAGGCAGAGTAGTCAGGGCAATCCGGGTCAAACACAGGAGAAGGCAGCGTAGTCAGGACAATCCGGGTCAAACACAGGAGAAGGCAGCGTAGTCAGGACAATCCGGGTCAAACACAGGAGAAGGCAGCGTAGTCAGGGCAATCAGGGTCAATATCACAGGTACAGGAACTCAGGAACACAGATAGACCTTGCGGCAATCTGTGACAGTGCAGGGCATCTTTAAATATCGCGCCCTGCACTGTCATTGGCTGCCCGAGATGCGCCCCCGGGCTGTCATTGGCCGCCCAAGGCACGCCTGCGGCTCCTACTGCGCATGCGCGGCGCCCTGTCAGCCGCGGCCCGCCGGGACCTGGTGCTTGTGTCCCGGCATGAGCTGCCGCTAGTGCGCGTGCGCCGGGGGAGGCGCCGCGGCGGTCCCTGACAGCACAGGTCTGCGCATGCGCAGATTGCCTAGGCGCACTAATGTGCAGGCACTAGGACCTGGGCGGCGGCAATTGCGGGAGCGCGCCTGGCAACAATGACGGTCCAGGGCGCACTATTTAAACTGGCCAGGCGGTGATCAGGTCGCCGCAAGGTCTAGTTCCTGTACCTGTGTTTCTGAAGTGTATTCCTGTTGCCAATCCTGCTTGTCCTGATTTGTGTTGACCTTCTCCTGCTCTGACCCCCGGCTTGTCCTGACTACTCTTCTGCCTGTTGTTATATTACTATTGGACCTCCCGTTGCTGAACCTTGGCTCGTGACCCGGCTACTCTCTGTCTACTGCTTGGTACGTACCTGCCTCCACCATTACCAACCCGGCTAGTCTGACTATGCTCATTCCTGACTGTCATCCATCCATCCCGCTTGGGACCTGGACTTGTCAGCCTCTTCACATCAGGCTCACTCCCAGCACATACCCTTGGCGGGACCCCTGTACCACAGTTGGATGCACTTAGGGGTCGCGACCCGATTTCAGTCTTGCACCAAGTCCGTCCCCACCATCAGGGGCTCTGGTGAAAAGGCAGACTGGGACTTAGACTCCGCGTCCTGGGGAATCCCGTTCTGTGGATCACTAGAGATCCCGCCGGGCGGTGTCTGACAATAAGGCAGCATGACCTCTTTGAGTATTCTGATGTATTCAAACTGATCCATGATCCCTGGCATGCGATAAATAGGCCCAACACTGTAGTATGAGAAACATCCCCATACCATGATGCTTGTGCAACCATGCTTCACTGTCTTCACAGTGTACTGTGGCTTGAATTCAGTGTTTGGGGGTCGTCAGACAAACTGTCTCCGGCCCCTAGACCCAAAAAGAACAATCTTACTTTCATCAGACCACAAAATGTTGCGCCATTTCTCTTTAGGCCAGTCAATGTGCTCTTTGGCAAATTGTAACCTCTTCAGCACGTCTTTTTTTCAACAGTGGGACTTTGCAGGGGCTTCTTGCAGATAGCTTGGCTTCACATAGGCGTCTTCTAATTGTAACAGTACTCACAGGTAACTTTACACCTTCTGTGATCTTCCTGAGCTGATTGTTGGCTGAGTCCTTGCCATTTTGGCTATTCCTCTATCCATTCGAATGGTAGTTTTTCGCTTTCTTCCATGTCTTTCAGGTTTTGGTTGCCATTTTAAAGCATTTGCGATCATTTTAGCTGAGCAGCCTATCATTTTCTGCACTTCTTTTATATGTTTTCCCCTTTCCAATCAACTTTTTAATCAAGGTACGCTGTTCTTCTGAACAATGTCTGGAACGACCCATTTTCCTCAGAATTTCAGAGAGAAATGCACTGTAACCAGCATGTACAACATTTGCTGCCTTCCTTCCTTAAATAAGGGCAATAATTGCCACCTGTTTTTTCAAAGAATAAATGACCTCACTAATAGAACTCCACACTGCTATTATTTTGAACATGCCCCTTTCAATTAGTGATTCAATTACACAGAATTATCAGCATGCATGTCATGACTGTTGGGTCTGTTGGATTTCTATTACTCTACTACACCTGCTAGGAAATTATTTGCCATGTAGAAATATCATTTCTACCAAAAACAGTGATTGATCAGGTTAGTGATGTCTGACTGATATTATTTTGAACACAACTGTATGTAAGGTGTGCTTACATATTTCTGGACCCTTTGATTTGGAAACTCAAGAAAGTTTGACAGTTGCTGCATGAAGGAGGCGTTCTGAGAGACTGAAAAGTCACTTCGTTTAAAATTTGTAGAGACTTTGAGGCCACCATAAGAGCATGAACTGGGTTCTCCTCTTACTAGCGCAGTGTAAATTGACCGTTCTATAAAAATACCTATAATAAATGAGATTTTACTGATTATGGGGAATTTGTAAATATTAGGCAACAATAAAGTACAAAAATAAGAAGGTCTCACCATATGACAGGAACATTGTTATTACAATTTCTGCACTTTTCACTGCTCGGTATGATTTAAAATAGCCAGGGAAGATCTGGACTGGGAAATGAGGGGTATTTGCACCCTGGGCTACTACTAATAAAACATATTGGGCTGATGGTCCTGAGTGGAGATACTTCTCTATTTAGTCAGAGTGGGACATAATATAATTAACACAAGCTGGACATTATTATTTATTTATTTATTTCAGGTACTTATATAGCGCCATCAGTTTATGCAGTGCTTTACATATATATATTGTCACATCAGTCCCTAACCCTCACAATCTAAGGTCCCTAACTCACATTCATACATACACGTATTAGGGCCAATTTAGACAGGAGCTAATTCACCTACCAGCATGTCTTTTGGAGTGTGGGACGAAACTGGAGTACCCGGAGGAAACCCACGCATGCACAGGGAGAACATGCAAACTCCAGGCAGGAGGTGCCGTGGCTGGGATTTGAACCAACGACCCTAGTACTGCCAGGCGGAAGTGCTAACCATTTAGCCACTGTGCTGCCCATTATGTAGTTACATGTTCCCTGTTTAGACCTGTGATCACAGCATCTGGCAGAGGGAATTCTACCAACATTGACTGATTTTGTGGCTTTGAGATGTCATATGATCAAATTACCAAAACTTCAAAGGAAGTTGATTGTAAAAGATGGAGAAAGGCAGGTTAGTAAACCTTTGGGAATATTAACCTTTTACCATGCCCACCATTCACTGATCACACTTTGTGTTAGACTTTCTTCAGCCTGCAGAAAGGACCAATTGGTCAAAGTTGCCGAAGGTTCTCAGTTCTCAAGTGAAAATAACAAAGGAGAGTGATCATCATCATCATGACTACAGTAAGGTTAAAGTAGAACTATAGGTAAAACTTTTTTCATTTTAGATAGAGTAAGGGAAGTTTTTAACCCCTGTCAGAATTTCTTTCAACATCTTTGTACCAATGGGGAGAATAACCTTCACTTCCTGTCTAATAGCAAAAACAGGAAGTGTGAGCAAATTTAGGGAATCTCTTGGGGTTTCTAGACTACTCGAACTAGTGTCCCATTGGAAGATTGCTCCCCTTTATTACATTTCTGGACACAACCCAACATTTGAGATTTTCTTTTACTTTCATTTGCAATGATAATAGTAAACAGGATAGAGAGGGTGAATCTGCCTAATGGGGCAAAGACAGCAATAAAATCTGACAGGTGTTCTAATCCATCTCCACTCTATCCAAAACTAAAAACTTTAACCCGGGTTTTATTACTTACAAATAATCACATCACAGACTAACTCCTAATATTATTGCTGAGACAGCAGAAGGACAAATAGGAGCTGCATTTTTTAACTCTCTGACCGCAAACCAATTCCAAGGATGATGTGTAAAGTGCTTCTTCCCAAAACGTTTAATTCTGTTGTGGTTAAAGTTGTGAGAAATATTTTAATCTGTCTCTCTTTTTAGAGAGTAAAGATGAATTAGAATACTTGTTGGGTTTTTATTGCAATCTGAGCGCCCATTAGGGAGATTCACCGTCTCTATTTGTCCCCAGAAAAAAAAATGGAAGGGAAATTTTTCAGTGGGAACACTAGCTCTGATGATCTGGGGGTCCTCAAGGAATTTGCAGGGATTGTTTTTTCAATTCCTGCTTTGGCTATGGGACAAGAAGTGAAAGGAAATCTCACCAATGGGACACAGATGGCAGGAAAAAAAACTAACTTGGGTTATAACCCTCTCTTACTCTATCCAAAATAAAAAAAAGGGGTTTTGCCTATAGTTCTGCATTAAATATACTGTACTTTTGTCCATATCTCAATAATGGGACATAAATGGTAAAAACACAGTTATGTGTTCAAATATATTTTCAGCAGACTGTAAGGTATATTGGCAGTAATGAATACAGATGTGAATTCTCTGTACAGATCTACATCTATCAGAGTACATTGACCGTGTATATAGAACAGCTGAAGAACCTGACCAAACGTGTGGAGATCATGGAGAACGGAGGTCACTCCTACACTGAGCTGGACTTTGAGCTCATCAAGTTGGAGATCAAAGAGATGGAGATCCTCATAGTGCAGCTGAAAGAGTCATTTAATGGCTCCAATGTCATAATAGAGACTCTCTACCAGGAGGTAAGATAAAACTATGTATTTTCACAGTATGGTAAGGAGTTTGTCACTTTTCTTAAATTGTGCAACTTACTAAGAGCATTGCTATTTCAGTGCTTATAGAGAACATATTCTCAGATCTTTTATTTCAACAATAAGTGCATTAAGTGCATATAACATATTTTTTGCATGTCATTTAAAAGCCTTCCTTGTGCAGATGTCCAAAAGCTCTGAGACTGCTGTTGGGTGTTGCCATCTTGGATGTGATGTAAACTCAAGTGACACTCTCTAGTATTCCCCTGCTCATTCCCTAACTGCTACATAAAAGGTTATGTAAAGGGGTAGAAAGCAGGGGCAGACTGACAACTCATGGGGCCCCCAGGCAATAGGGGATCATGGGGCCCCTGTGTCCTCATCCACACTCAAACAACACCCAAAAAAAAGCCTATGAAAGGTACTAGGGGCATCTCGTGGGGCCCCCAAATGACCCTGGGCCCTTGGACAGTGCCCAAGTACCCGAATGGTCAGTCCACCCCTTGCAGAAAGAGGGACAAAGGATCTGTCCAGCATGGAAAATAATTTGATGCTCCCAGAAGAGGAGAGTGCTATAATGCACAAGGAGGGAGGAAACTGTGCTAGGAAATTGATTAGAATTTTTTCTAACAAGTTCAGAGGCACACAAGGGAATTAAAAGAAAATCATTTATGGAAGGGAAAAACACTGAATTTAATATAAAAAAGAAGAAATCGAGCGCTGGGTGTAAAACCTATAATAGCTGCTGGCATCAAAAGGTACCTCGAGAACCTATACACAGTATAAAATCAAATAAAATGCAGCGCTAAGAAATAAGTGATGGTAGTTAGGATGCACTGGAAGGTAAAACCAGAATAAGTGTGAAATAAAATGAATAAAAACCAAAACAATTCCTGGTAAGAATCCAATACATCAATGCCTTAGGTAATGATATATATAGGTAATAAACCTTAATAAAATAATAGCAATAAAGTGCAACAGTCTCTATAGGCTGAGATGATAGCAGTGATGCGTGCACATAATCTTTCTTAGCGCTGCATTTTGTTTGATTTTATATTGAATTTAATATACTTAAAGCTTTAACAAGCAATTTATAAAAAGGCAGTTCAGCAACCCCCAGGGGTTAATGTATATTTTAACCTCTTCTTATACTGTTTACTGGGTAGGGATATAATAGCACAGTCACCCACAATCCAGTGTTTTCCTGCTACATCCCTCCATAGCTTGCTGAGGTCTCTGCCGTTATTTTATTTGTGACAACATCAAGAGGTTGTGTCTCTTTTACGGGTCCTAGTAGCCACTCCTCTGATGATGCAGCACTGCAAATGCGCAGTGTGTTCTTCATAGCTCTGAAGACTCCTGGGTGAAAAAGGGGAAATTGCAGGCTTCACTCCAATGAAAATAGATACACCCCCTCCCCCAAAAAAAAAAAGCAGAGTTGTTGCAATCTGATTACAAGGAAGAAGAGGAGCAAAAAAAAAACAAAGCAAAAGTGAGTGAATGTCCACTTTAAGTTGGAGACAAGCTCTCTGAAGAGACACTTTTCCCATTTACATGATATGCTCCGCCATCCCCTAAAAAATGATTCACCCCTTTTCTTTACCCCCTTTTCTTTACCCCCTTCCCCTTATATTCTCACCCCCCTAAGTAAAAGATTCTATCAAAACTTTTTTATCTCACTTAAAGAACTCTATTTGCTGATGTTAGCGCTTCCTAACTATGGTGTACATTTATCAAGCAGTGGTAAATGACTGCTGCTATGTTTTCTGGCACTCTCAGAGGAGACAGCTCTCCTCTGAGTGCCTGTCTATGAAGCGGTGTAGATCGCTTATCCTAATGAGGAAAGAAGCAATCTACAAACGCTTTGAACTCTGGAAAATGGCTGTTGCTGTAATCTCATGAAGTATAGGAAGATTACAGTAACAAGAGATCAGCAAAACACACAGCTGTCAGTGTATTAAGCAGTGGTAAATTACCTCTGCTGAGGTGGTGGCTATCCTCAGTACACACATACACAATAAAAAAAAAAAATATATATATATATATATATATATATATATATATATATATATATATAGATCTATATATATTTGGACACAGGCACAATTTTAGTTTTTTCAGGTATGGACCAAAACATATTCAAGCTATAGTTATATAATGGATATGGGCTGAAAGTGCACACTCTCAGGATTAGTTTTAGGGTATGTACATCCAAATTGGAGAATTGGAGGAAGGGTTTAGGAATTAGCGGTGTTCTCGAGTGTAGCTCGGGGTAAAATTTCTATACCAAAAGCGGTAACCCCGAGCTACACTCGGGCTTACCATGCGGCGCTGCTCTGGGGGTCCCTGCAGCACTTACCTTGTCCTTCGCTCCCGCGATGTGTCCCCTCCAGCGTCCCCGGCCATCTCCTCCGGCCGATGCCAGCATCCGGCTTCTGTGTTCCGGTCCTTGTGACGTCGGAACGTACGGGCGCCGGAACCGGCGGGAAATTTGAATTTTTTAAAAAATGTCGTTTTTGCTGTCATTGCTATTTCAATGCATTTCACATACATTTTGTCCCTACTGCTTTGTCCTGTGCCCTGCCTGCATTTTGAATGTTCTTTCTGCCTGGAAACTTAGAAAAGTCCATGGCGTCCAAAAAGCGTCCCTTTACGTCAAAAGTGGTTTTAGAACAGCGATAGTAAATCAGAACCACTTGCAGAATTGAGTGATAATGATTCATGGGGGAAATTTGTCATCAGACACTGAAAACAATTTTGCGACTTTGCTCAGCGATGTGCGAGAGAGTATCCACCCCCCCCCTCCTTTTTCAAGGGACTGAAAGTACAATTTAATCAAAAGCTGTTTCATGGTCAGGTGCGGACTACTCCTTCATTATTTCTTCATCAATTAAAAGGTCTGAAGTTGATTCTAAGTGTGGCATTTGCATTTGGAATCTATTGCTGTGAACCTACATCATGCGTTCAAAGGGGCTGTCCATGCAAGTGAAACAGGCCATTGTAAGGCTTCAAAAAGAAAACAAATCCATCAGAGAGATGGCAGAAACATTTGGAGTGGTCAAATCAACAGTTTGGTACATTCTGAGGAAAGAAGAATGCACTGGTGAGCTCAGCAACATAAAATGGCATGGACGTCCACGGAAAAAAACAGTGGTGGATGATCACAGGATCCTCTCTATGTTAAAGAAAAACCCATTTACAACATCCAAACAAGTGAAGGGCATTCTCTAGGAGGTGGGAGTATCATTGTCAAAGTCTACAATCAAGAGAAGACTTCAAGAGAGCAAATACAGAGGGTTCACCACAAGGTGCAAACCATTCATAAGCCTGAAGAATAAAAAAGCCAGATTAGACTTTGCCAAAAAAACATCTAAAAAGCCAGACCAGTTCTGGAAAAGCATTCTTTGAACGGATGAAACTAAGATTAATCTATACCAGAATGACATGAAGAAAAAAGTGTGGAGAAGGCTTGAAACAGCTAATGATCCAAAGCACACAGCATCATCTGTAAAACATGGTGGAGGCAGTGTGATGGCATGGGCATGCATGGCTTCCAGTTGCACTGAGTCATTGGTGTTTATTCATGATGTGACAGAAGACAGAAGCAGCCGGATGAATTCTGCAGTGTTTAGAGATATACTGTCAGCCCAGATTCAACCCAATGCAGCAAAGTTGATTGGTCGGCGCTTCACAGTACAGATGGACAATGATCCAAAACACACTGCAAAAGCAACCCAGGAGCTTTTGAAGGAAAATAAGTGGAATATTCTGCAATGGCCAAGTCAATCACCCTATCTCAACCCAATTGAGCATGCATTTCACTTGCTGAAGGCAAAACTGGAGGCAGAAAGACCCACAAACAAAGAAAAACTGAAGACAGCTGCAGTTAGAGCCTGGCATAGCATCAGAAAGGAGGGAACCCAGTCCTTCGTAATGTCCATGGATTCCAGACTTCAGGCAGTCATTGTCAGTAAAGAATTCCCAGCAAAATATTAAAAATGAACATTTTATTATGATTATATTCAATTGTCCATTTACTTTTGGTCCCTTGAAAAAGGGGGAATGGCTATATATATATATATATATATATATATATATATATATATATATATATACATATACATACACACACACATACTATATTGCCAAAAGTATTGGGACACCCCTCCAAATCATTGGATTTGGGTGTTCCAATCACCTCCATGGCCACAGGTGTATAAAATCAAGCACCTAGACAAGCAGACTGCTTCTACAAACATTTGTGAAAGAATGGGTCGCTCTCAGGAGCTCAGTGAATTGAAGCGTGATACTGTGATAGGTTGCCACCTGTGCAATAAGTCCATCCATGAAATTTCCTTGCTACTAAATATTCCACGGTCAACTGTCAGTGGTATTATAACAAAGTGGAAGCAACTGGGAACAACAGCAACTCAGCCACGAAGTGGTAGGCCACGTAAAATGACAGAGCGGGGTCAGCGCATGCTGAAGCGCACAGTGCACAAAAGTCACCAACTGTCTGCAAAGTCAATAGCTAAAGACCTCCAAACTTCATGTGGCTTTCAGATTAGCACAACAACAGTCCATAGAGAGCTTCATGGAATGGGTTTCCATAGCTGAGCAGCTGCATCCAACCCTTACATCACCAAGTGCAATGCAAAGTGTCAGGTGCACTGGTGTAAAGCACGCCACCACTGGACTCTAGAGCAGTGGAGATGTGTTCTCTGGAGTGACCAATCATGCTTCTCTGTCTGGCAATCCGATTGACATGTCTGAATTTGGCGGTTGTCAGGAGAATGGTACTTGCCTGACTGCATTGTGCCAAGTGTAAAGTTCGGTGGAGGGGTTATTATGGTGTGGGGTTGTTTTTCAGGGGTTGGGCTTGGCCCCTTAGTTCCAGTGAAGGGAACTCTTAAGGCGTCAGCATACCAAGACATTTTGGATAATTTCATGCTCCCAACTTTGTGGGAAGAGTTTGGGGATGGCCCTTTCCTGTTCCAACATGACTGCGCATCACTGCACAAAGCAAGGTCCATAAAGTCATGGATGAGTGAGTTTGTGGTGGAGGAACTTGACTGGCCTGTGCAGAGTCCTGACCTCAACCTGATAGAACACTTTTGGGGTGAATTATAGTGGAGACTGCAAGCCAGGCCTTCTCGTCCGACATCAATGCCTGACCTCACAAATGCGCTTCTGGAAGAATGGTCAAACATTCCCATAGACACACTCCTAATCCTATAGACAGCCTTCCCAGAAGAGTTGAAGCTGTTATATCTGCATCATCCCAGTATAATCACAGCAAATTTTCTAGCAAACAAAATGATTTGTACACTTAAATAAAAAGTGTCAGAAAAGGCTTGGTTTACAAGTGGATAGGTGCAGCTTTTGAGTGTATGTTTTAAAGTGAAATTCTAGCCAAAAACGTTTTGGATAGAGTAGGAAAGGATTAGATTATCTATCTTTGTTGTCTGAGCTCTTATTTCCAAATAAACAAAGTTAAAAATAATGACACGCTCATATTAAAGCCCAAGTTCAGGATAAATGTACACAGTCATCCATTGTTGGGTCATTTTGCCTTCTGTTTACTTCTTGGATGAGTCCCTCTTCCAGGTGTCTATGTCACTGCCTAATTGACATAGACAATTCCCATTGGCTGGCCAGCAGAAGGGTCCTCTCAGGGTCTAGAAGGGTGGTAACATGGTACTGAGGGGCATAAAAGGAACTGGACTGCAAGGGTTAACTTGCGGTTCCTGCAGGCAGAAACAGCATCAATGAGGGATCTGGATGGAAGGGTTCAGATGAGTATACTTCTTGAGTGCAGCTAAGAGTCTGATTCCTAGGTTTTGGAAAAAAAGGGAGGTGCCGACTGAAGAAGATTGGATGGTCAGAATGAATCAGATATGTGAGATGGAAAGACTGTACTACATGCATATAGACAGGATGGAGAAGTATTATGAAAAGTGGAAAAAATGGGAAGAATTTAGAGAAAAAGTGAAATATACTTGATTTATACCTCTTGAAATGAATAAGGATTTTAGAAATGATTTATAGAAAGTAAAGGAAAGTTTTTTTTTTCTTTTTCTTTGGATTAGAAAAGAATATGCAGAGTGGGATGGAGCGGGGGGGGATGTGATGGGGGGGTGTACTTAGCAAAGCAGTTCCAGATGAAAAGCTAGTTGGGTTTTCCACCTGACTGCCCTCTCCCTTTATCCAGCCCAGGGGGTGTAGAATTACTCACTCTGTCTCTACTGTGAGCTTGAAAGGTTGGTGGCTGCCTTCAAGCCTTACGCTGGGCTGGCTTCTCCCCTGCTCCCCAGGTTGTCTTTACTTAGTGAATGGTGAAGCAGAAAGATCCACCTATTTAGCTCCTTCTTGTAGGTAGGCCTCTCTCCAAGGCCCCGTCCCAGGCTCCACACTCCAGCCTTCACTCCATATTCCACTCGACACTACTCCTCCTGCTGATCAGGCTCTCTCATACTTAAGGGCTGTTCTTAACCCATGCCAATCCTCCTGGTTGGGGATTGGTCAGAGTCCCTTGAGCATATAGATCAGTCCCTCTCCACCCCCATCCACTGCCTTCTAGAAACGTCTTCAGCTTCTAGAGCAGGGGGAGGTATCAGGGAACTGACCCGCAGAGCCCTTAGCCCTGACCCAGAGTAACCTGGTTGACTCATCCCATGTTGACTCATCCCAGCCAATGCCTAAAAAAACTAACTAGCTCCCCCTATCTAATCTTGAAGGGTGCTACATTTAGATGGATTTAATTTTGGATGGATATAGAAATGTTCAATCCCTTATTGGCTTTATATGTCAATAGTAGACACTGGCAACAAGATCACCTACCTCAGTCATACTTTACACCACAGGTCATGCTTTAGTACCTGTCAGTCATTAGATTATCATCCTATGCATGATGAAAACTACCAAATGCAGCTCCATCTTACAGAAGGGAAGCGGGAGGAGGGTGAGGTTATGTCCAATCTAAAAGCAGTCACAAGCACAATGTTCAGATAGTTCTACCAATTTGTCTGTATATTCTTTGTAGATCCGTAATATTTCCATCATGGTGAACCAATTGGAAATCTATGATAAGAACAACGTGCTGGTGATCAGACGGGAGATTGCGGCTTTGAAGAAACGCCTGGAGGAGTGTGAGAAGAACAATACAAAACCAGAATATCCTTCCCTTCCTTCACCAGATATTGGTAGGTTAGAAGAAAGACTGAAATTCAGTGGACAAATGTTATATTTAACAATGTATAACAATATACAGTAGCTATGGGTCCTTGTCAACACTTTTTGTTTGCATTTTTGGTTTTGTCCCTCTAAAAATACTTTATCTGGTATCTGGCTGTCATACTGAACATCTGGCTTCAACATTTTGAGTCAGTGTCCTGCAGCAAGTATAAAAAGGAGTTCTGCTTTTTCTAATCTGAATGCTTGTACTGGGTCAGATACTTAGAAATAATATACTGTAAAGTTGGCAATCATAACAGCTTATGCTGCTGTCACTTTATATTTCCTATCTGCAGTGCTGGAAGTTCTTTGCAAACATTGAGTGTAATGCCAACAGTAAGCATAAATCGTCACCCATTATGCGCTGCGATAGTTTCTTACCCTGGCTCTGTATTACAGGATGTGCGGTCATATACTCATTACCAGGACAGGGTGGTCCAGCACCCAGGGCAAGGAACCAGAATTGCACCCCCTTCCCTCAGAGTTAATACATGCCATAGAATGAGTGTACCACCCTCCATCTATTCTTTTTCCCCCTTATTTCTCTGCCCCCAGGGCAGCCGCCCCTCCTGCCCACCCTTTGCACAGAGAATCCCCCTACCAACTCCATGCTGAAGGATATGAGCTGTGGTCTGCATTGTTCCACTTCTCCATGGTGGCCTTCTCTGACTGTATACTCTGTTTGCTGTCAGTGCCCATAGTGCACAGCATGCATTCGGGAGTTCAGCATGTGCACTTCTAACACAGACAGGCAAAAGACAGGCAGCAAAAGGACCCTACTATCTGTCTACATAATAGTCTTCAAAACAGTGTACAGATTTTTAGTATTAGTTCTGCATAAGAGCCTCGAGATGACAGTTGTTTGATCCAGCCATTTTGGTCCAATTACAGTCCAATTGCAATCTAATGTCCTGTGCTCAGTGTCCAAAAGATATTCACTGGCTGAAAGCTTTAAGAAACTCCATACCAATTGCTATAGTTCTTCTGAAAATGTGTAGCACTGGCAATGCCTGTTTGTCACCACATACCTATGTAGCACTACTCCCATAGGAGCTGCTGCTGAGGATGGGTCCTCTGTTTTTGCCTTGACCTTTTCCAAAAAATCTCAACCCTTCGAACACACACCATGTTGAGCGTACAAACATACAATATCACAGGAAATCACTAAAGGTAATACTTAGTAACTAGTAGTAGCTCTATATCAAAGAAACTAGACAACAAAGCCAGGTAGTAAAGGCAAACGTAATATATTGTCACCCAATATGTGTGGTAACTAGGCAAACATAAAATGGATTACCAATGGTAATAACACAATTTAGCATTACAAAGTGATTAAAGGATAAGTTCACCTTTGATAACATGTTACATGTTATACTCATATTCAGGGTGTAACATGTAACATGTTACGAACCAACTGGCTCCCTGATCCCCATTGTAGCAGCTAGCGAGAGATCTTCTCTCCCCTCTCTCCCTCACTAGCTGTCATTCTGTGAATGAGAACACTAAAAGTTTCAACAGCCTTTGTGGCTGTCGGCTTGTAGTTCTCACTGAAACTACCATGGCTCTGTGGAGAGTTGTAGTAGTTCATTGAGCCTTCCTGTTAGCAAGTATCTACTTTCCCGTACGGGATGTACGAGCACACAGATACACTGACAGGTCTGCAGGGGATCTGCATGACTCCAGCAATCTGCTGATTTTTACCTACAAAAAAATTGTCCATTTATTATTTTTTTGTTAAAAGGTGAACGTATTCTATAACAGTAAGGACTGGGCATAACATGGCATTTGTTGTCCAGATCAGCATAAATATTAGCAAGGCCACCTCAAGTGCAGCACTGAGCAGTAGAAAAGTTTAATCTACCTGAATGCTGGAACTACATTGCCGGAATGTGTTTCTGGTTGTGATGCTAGTCCTACACTCACTGAGTATGCACTGTCCAAATGAAAAGGAGGATGGTGGGGGAGGGGTTCAGGAAAATAAAAGAGCTTGCAGAATAATAAGTACAGGAGGGTTAGTGTCCTTTGTTATGTTGTTCTGAACCTTTTAATATAGTTGTCTTTGATGCCCAAGTGTAATCGTCTTCTACATTAATGTAACCACTTTTTAGAATGGTAAATCCATTACATGAAGAATTCTAGGATAGGTATGAAAATGAACTCTGTGATGATCAGCTGTAGGTCAATATACGGCAAAAAGACACACAATATAATACCTTATATAATATAATACCTTAACTTCACAGATGTGTATTTTTAAGCCACACACCAGACCATTTACATCAGCAGTTCTTTGATGACCCAGGGTTAGTTAAAGTGTTACTAAACCCAGGACCCTGCATTCACTATATCTGGTCTCCCAGGACCCTGCATTTACTACATCTGATCTCCCCGACACTGCATTCACTACATCTGGTCTCCCCGGACCCTGCATTCACTATATCTGGTCTCCCTGGACCCTGCATTCACTATATCTGGTCTCCCAGGACCCTGCATTCACTATATCCGGTCTCCCCGGACCCTGCATTCACTATATCTGGTCTCCCAGGATGCATTCACTATATATCTGGTCTCCCAGGACCCTGCATTCACTATATCTGGTCTCCCAGGACCCTGCATTCACTACATATCTCCCCGGACACTGCATTCACTATATCCAGTCTCCCCGGACCCTGCATTCACAATATCTGGTCTCCCCGGACCCTGCATTCACTATATCTGGTCTCCCACAGTACACACAACATGGAAGTGCAATTATTTTAGTAAATATAAACAGCTAAATACCTTTTCTCATCAGCAGTTAGAGCAGTCTTGTGACTATCTGTCCAGCAGAGTACTGGTTAAAGCTTGTAGGAGGAGATTTCATTTCTCCCTTGACTGTCCTATGAGGCTGAATAAACCTTCACCCTCTGTCTGGGCAGTGCTGATTGGCCCTGTGCTGATCACATGCACCCTCTCAAAAAAAACACTCTCTTGCAATACACACCAAACTGATCATGTGCAGCTTGCCCCCAAGGCTCTGTTCTATCAGGAGATGATTTGGGGACAGTAGAAGGAGAGGATCAGAGAGGACAGGATCAAATATCCTTTTTGCACAATGCGGAGGATTAACCCCTTGGGTTCCACAGTGAGTATAACAAGCATACTTTACCTCATCTACAGAATGATTTTACTGGGTTAGTAACACACTAGGTTGTGGGTTTAGTAACACATTATGCTTTATGATGCTTATGCATTCCATCTAACTAAACAGCCTTTTGTCAAATGTGTCTACTTCCACGACTGCTTGAACTGACCAATTTGTTACTACCGGTAACTTTGGAATTTGGGGGAAAATTAGGGCGGAGTTTTGTTCACCCTCATTTCCCCATTCTCCCCACACATTTTTGGAGTTCATTATACCTCACTATCATCACACCCAGCTTTAAGGAGGACCTGTTGCATTGCTTTACATTGACAAAGCACACATTTGTTTTCAAGTCTATATGCAGCCTCTTTTATCATCTGCTTTGCTTCTTTTATTTTATGTGCACCAGATAATGTGGTTTACTATTTATGCTACACATGTTTATGGTGATTAAATTAATTTTTTCTTTTGTATGCATCATTTTGTTGCCTTTCAAATTCTGTGGTTGAGTCATTTCAAGCTGATATTGATGAACAATTGTAAAAAAAAAAAAAGTTGCTCTGAATAAAACATAGTGGTAGGTCTTGCAAGAGTTCACTTGAGTTTGAGGCTAAAATCTTCTATTAGGTAGCTCTTTCAAAGCAATTTGAAAAGTTTTCCTTTTTCCCCAAAAAAACATGTGTAACGACCATAGAAAAGCAACAGGCGGCTTAGAATAACATTCACTCATCCTTCCCTTTCACCCGGTACAATCATCATTCATAGCCAACCAAGGTAATCCATAAATATAATATGTCTGTATTTTATCAGATTGATTTACCTACAGATATTGTAGGTATTGTAGCCATAGAAATCACACCTTGTCAAATGTCTACTAATATAGTGGAGCCGGCAACTTGGTATCATCCATGAATAAGAATTTTGTCCAAGGTAGCTGCAATGCCTGACATATCAAAGTGTTCTTAGCAAAGCCTTGTTGCATTTTGCTGGCTTTCCTTTTTTTAATATGTATTTTTTACCATTTATATTCATTTATTCCTTTTTGCAGGTACTTGTGAACATGGCCAGATCATTAACATCAGCAAACCATTGGTTGTCCAAATAAATTGGTTGCTAGGCAGCTATTTGTATGGAGGATGGGGGAGAGATTCACTACTAGGAGCCGATCAGAATGTCCAGTGGGTGGCTCCTCTAAAAACTGATGGAAGGATGTTGGAAACTCTGCATTTCTACCCTTCATATAATGATCTCAAAATCTACAGTGGTGCCACAGCAAGGACTCTATCAAGAAGGCATAGCAATGGCTATGATTATATTTACACTGATTGTGGTCAAGGTAGTGGAATGATCTTGTACAACAGCATGTTGTACTATAACTGCTACAACACCTTGAACATCTGCAAGTATGACTGGAGAAACAATGTGTACGCCCGAGCGGCTCTCCCTGGTGCCACATACACAAACCGGTTCTCCTACTCACACACAGCTTGGCAGGACATTGACCTATCCGCTGATGAACAGGGTCTTTGGGTCATTTATTCAACTGAACAGAATGCTGGAAATATTGTCATCAGCAAACTTAATGATACTACTCTTGTAGTACTGCAGACCTGGAACACCAACCAGTTCAAACATGGAGTCAGCAATGCTTTCATGGTGTGCGGGGTCTTGTATGCTACTCGAGCCATCAGCACAAAGCAAGAGGAGATCTTCTACATGTATGATACCAAAACTAATGAAGAACGGAGGTTGAGTGTAATTTTTTTGATAAACCAAAAGAGAAAGTGCAAAGTCTGTCCTACAATCCTAATGATCACAGGCTCTACATGTACACTGATGCTTTCCTGGTCTATTATGACCTCTCTTTCAGTTTGCTATCCAAACCCAAATCGAGGATTATACGTTCCAAAATAAACCCTATCCAAATCAAATAGATCAACCAACATAAAATGAATCCAAGCTAGTCCAAGTTATATGTGTCAGAAGTAGTAAGACATCCATTTTCATCAACTATGATCACCCCAGACCAGTGGTGGGCAACCTTTTTTTTCAACTGAGCCAAATCTCGCCAAAACCACGATTGAAATTTATTTTGAGAGCCACATTTTTAAAACTGAAAATACATCCCCCATATAGTAATTCATCCCCCATAGTAATTCATCCCCCATAGTAATTCATCCCCCATATAGTAATTCATCCCCCATATAGTAATTCATCCCCATAGTAATTCATCCCCCATATAGTAATTCATCCCCCATATAGTAATTCATCCCCCATAGTAATTCATCCCCCATATAGTAATTCATCCCCCATATAGTAATTCATCCCCCCTATAGTAATTCATCCCCCCTATAGTAATTCATTCCCCATATTGTGTCAATTCACTTACCTTTGCTCCGCGCGTTCCTCTCGCCGTGTTCCCACACCGTTCCGGTCTTCAGGGCGGACTGTGAGAGGAGAGGAGTTCGTCACGCTGCCCCGCCTACATCCTGACAGCCAATGTTTGTCACGCTCCGCGGGCCGGATTAAAAGGTCCGCCGGGCCGTAGTTTGCCCATTGCTGGGCTAGCTGCAGAGTCCTGACTTTTGGGGCGGCCGCCCGAGAGGAGGGAGGGGAGCGGGCGCCCGGCACACTGAAGAGCCGCATTGAAGTGTGCAAAGAGCCGCATGTGGCTCGCGAGCCGCGGCTTGCCGACCACTGCCCCAGACCAACCATTAAAAAAAGTTACCAATGTGTGAAGATTTCCAGATTCTGACATTCTGAGAAAACCAAAATACATTGATAAATATAAATAGGGATATGTATTTAATCTTTGTCTGTAATCATTTGTTCTGAATCAAGTTAAATGATAAATTAATTCTATGTCTTTTCCTATTAGATAACAGTAAATAAATAAATTCTTTAGCATGGTATATGGTGTGAGTGAATTTTTGTTTTGCCTTTATTTTTGCTGGAATTTGCTACCTGAAACTAATCTGTTCATCAAAACTACCTGAGCTTCAACTGACCTGAAACTGGGCATTAATGTGGAAATTCAAATGAAAACTTTTTTTTTTCTACTGTAAAAAGAGAGAATGATTAGAACCTCTTTCAGGTTGTTTTTGCTGTTTCTGTTTCTGTTAATGGTGTTCCTCTGTTGCAAAACACACTGAGCATGTGCAGAGTGCCTCTTAGGGCACTGTGCTAGAAGCAGGTTGATTGGGGACTGTGGAAGAAGGGGAGGATCAGAGAATACAGGATCAAACAACCTTTTTACACAATTCGCAGGATTAACCCCTTAAGTTCCACAGTGAGTATAACAAGCATGCTTTCCTGCATATACAGACTGATTGTACTGTTGTGGGTTTAGTAACACTTTAAGGACGGAAGATAATTAATACAAAAAAGGCTGGATTTGGACCAGTTTACTTTAAATCCTAAATAGTAACCAAATTGTTGAATTAAAGTAAGCACTTGGGATATAGTAACCTGGGGTTTAGAAAGGTTTGAAAGCATATCATGAGCGTAAAGTGAAACACGCTCTTCCAAAGTACCAATGGGGATACCCTGTACCAGTGGGGAAGTCCGAAGGAGTTCAGCTTTTGGGTATTTTTTATATTTTAAAATTGCACTTGTCAAAAAACAATATTTTTCTGTTTGTTTATAAAAACATTATATATCACAACAGCTAAATGCGTGTCTGTAGTGTATGTTCAAACCTTAATACCATAAATAATGACGTTATTAGAGTTTTACTCCAGGAGTATATAATAAGGTCAGCAATCCTAGAGAAATGCTTAAATTATGCAAACCAATTAGATTTTAGTTAACTACAATGTACTGGAGATTTCAGTTTACTAAAATACGACTAAAATTAAAACAATTCAGATGACTAAAATACGACTAAAACTAAAATGGCATTTTAGTCAAAAGAGTATGACTAGAATGAAATCGAAATTTGACATCAAAATGAACACTGCTTTCGACACTATTCCATCCACAACTGACACCACTGATAGGGCACTAATTCTCTCACAACACCAACAATGGGGCACGATTCCTCCCACGACACCAACAATGGGGCACGATTCCTCCCACGATACCAACAATGGGGCACGATTCCTCCCACGACACCAACAATGGGGCATGATTCCTCCCACTACATCAACAATGGGGCACGATTCCTCCCACGACACCAACAATGGGGCACAATTCCTCCCACGACACCCAACAATGGGGCATGATTCCTCCCACTGATACCAATGATGGGGCACTATTCCTCCCACTGATACTAATGATGGGGCACTATTCCTCCCACTGATACCAATGATGGGGCACTATTCCTCCCACTGATACCAATGATGGGGCACTATTCCTCCCAATACTAATGACGGGGCACTATTCCTTCCACTGATAGCACTGACAGGACACTATTCCTCCCACTGATACCAATGATGGGGCACTATTCCTCCCACTGATACCAATGACAGGGCACGATTCCTCCCACTGATAGCACTGACAGGATACTATTCCTCCCACTGATACCAATGATGGGACATGATTCCTCCCACTGACAACAACAATGGGGCACTATTCCCCCCACCAATACCAATGATGGGGCACTATTCCTCTCACTGACAACAACAATGGGGCACTATTCCTCCCACTGATAGCAATGAAAGGGGACTATTCCTCCCACTGGTACCAATGATGGGGAACTATTCCTCCCACTGATTGGTTACTATGCACAGCTGCACCAGATTCTATATGCACCAGCTTTAGTAAATCTCCCCCAGTATGACTTTGTCCTATGATCATCACTGTGTTGAAACCTAAATCTGAGATCTTGGCACAGTTAAACACAGAGATGAAAGACGTGTAAGGAAGCAATTTTTCCTGCCAAATGTTTTTTATTTCTGTCCATGCAGTCCTGAGAATTCCAAGCTCTGCCACACAGCACAGGTCAGGAGACTTGATTTTTTGCTGCCACAGTTCAGTAACACTTACAGGTCTTGTTTCTTCCTCAGCCTGCGACTGGACAATGAGAAGGGAAGCAGCAGATTAATGAGTTCATCCTCTTACCCATAGGCTCCTTGTAAGTAGATGAGCACTGCAGCAAACTAATTGACTCCATGTGCCACTACTTCATCTATCCCTCCAAACTCATGCTGATCATCGAATTGCAAGATGCTGATACCAGGTCAAATTCAGGTAATTACACTGCTTGCATTAAAAAATAAGCATGAAAAGTTGCATGTATTAAAACATAGCAGTGTTTAATACGGATTAAAGCAGATTAGTAACTTTTTATCTGCCTGGAGTTCAGCTTTACAGCAGACTTTACACTTCATGGAAGGTCCTCTTTTTAAATGCACCCACCATCCACTTTGTTTATACGCCCAGTAAATTACATAAAAGCACTTGTGAGTTAAAAAGTCACACATTATTGTAACGCCCTCCAGGTTAGCCAGAAAGGCTGTTTGTTTGTTTTTTTTGTTTGTTTAGGCACAGGCTGAGTAGCAGCCTGGGATGAGTCAGCCTGGGAATGTGTCAGGAGTTCACCTCAGGACAGGCTAGGAGACTCTATCAGGTCAGGGGTTCTGGAGCCCTCCCACATCTCCAGAAATTTTGGCCAAAATGTATTCTGTTTCATGTCTTTGTTAAAAAAAAATCCCAATAAGTGTATATTGATTGGTTTGTGTGAAAGTTATAGCGTCTACAAACTATGGGATATATACTGGAATTTGTATTTATTTATTTTTATACTAGTAATGGCAATGATCAATGACTTATATTTGGACTGTGTTAGTGCGATGGGCAATCTGACACTTACTGAAAGTGGGTGGGAACTGACTGACACTGACATCACCAAGTGACACTGTCAATGTACTAATGACACTGGCTGGGAAAGGGTTAACATCTAGGGGAAATGAAAGGGTTAACTGTATGCCTAACAGTGTGTATCGTGTGCAGCTTTTACTAAGAGATGTGGTTGTCTGTTCTCCCTGCTTTTTCAGGGGGGGGGGAAACAGCCACATCGCTGCTCCGTGTGCAAAGCCCTGTGTTGTTAGCAAACACAGGGTTCTGTATTATGATTCGCTAAGCCGATCAGCCATAAATTATTGACCAGGACCTGAAGACCGACTTGTGCTGTACTGAATGTTGAAATCAGCAGAGCTTCCCCTCATTTACTAAGCTCTGGAGCAATTGCACTTTCAAAATGCACAGTCTATTTGCCTTTAGTATATCAACCCCACTGACACTGATACTAATTCTAAAAATGTGTATTTCATCCTACCTAAAAGGTCAACACAGTGGCTAAATGGTTATCACTAGAGATGAGCGAATCCGTTTCGAATTTCAGGAAAAATTAGATTCGCGTCGAATCCGAATATTAGC